CAAGCAAGTCTCCTGCCTCAGCCTCCCAAGTAGCTGGGACCACAGGCGCCCGCCACAACGCCTGGCCATTTTTTAGTTGCAGCCATCATTGTTGTTTGGCAGGCCCGGGCTGGGGATTCGAACCTGCCACCTTAGGTGTATGTGGCTGGTGCCTTAGCCGCTTGAGCCACAGGTGCCGAGCTGAATATCAGCTTCTAATCTAGGTTTTAGTCTGGGAGTTCCTGAAATAAAGCAGAGGCAAAATATTCCCTTTCCCTTAATCACAAGATGATGGCCCATAATCACTGTACTAAACTTGAAAACAAGGTCTTACTTATAGTGCCAGGAAGAAAGCAGGTGTTGCTAAGAACCAGAGGTTTCCAAAACTGAAAATTGGCTTAAGGGGATTCCAAAATTATCCTTTTTGCAGCTGAACTCCCCTAATATAGGCCCTTTAGATTATGGAGATCAGATAAGGGCACATCTTTAGAATAATTTATCTTACAAGTTGAATAGGTTATCAGAAAAATTGACTCCCAGCTCACAACTCACCAATCAACTAGAACTCCTTCTTCTCAGGAAGGAAATAATACCTGTCCCTGATACCTGTCCATTTGCTGCCCACTTTATGTGAGAGAATTCCGAGTGAGGTTAATAACTTTGTCTCAAGGGACACCCAGTCTTTATGGTACCAAGATGAAAATCAGTGATAACATGCACGTTTTGAAATTTTCCATATACAAATAAGTTAAAACGTAACTATTAGAAATGTTTAAAGAAAGCCCAAGACATAGACCATTTAATGTCCACCTTTGAAAGTTAGAATTTTTCATAGCATTATTTTACTTACAACTGAGATTACTAGATCTAATTCTGGCATTGATAAGCGCTGCCAATAAATTTTGAAGACGACTCCGGCTAGCCTTCCATTCTACCTAAACTAAAATTCAAACTCTCAATACACAGGAGGAGGAAATAAGAGAATGAAAAAAGATAGGCTTGCTGGTTTTAAAAAAGAATTCAGCCTCCATCTATGTCTCCATATATTTTTAGGCCAAAACCTCCCCCCGCCCCCAATCAATACAGAAGTCTAAATCATCTGTTTCAAAAAGCCTACCTTCATCCAAGGAAACAGATTTCCTAGTTGGTCTAGAAGACTATTACTTGCAATTTGAAAAGCCTGGAGCTGCTGTTTTCGTTCTTGTAGTGGCACACATCATTATCATATGATTAATCACTGCCACTTTCTCCATTATTTCAGTCAGCTATGGCCAAAGAGCTATTTGGTGATTTTTTTTTTTTCAAAAAGAAACTGTCCATCATTTACATAACAAGTGGCCCAGCAGAAAACATGCAAATTGATGTTCAAGCCCTGACAAAAGCATATTGAACATCTTCTGGGCTGTCTTTGGATGAAAAAGGGATTACTTGTTTACAAAATGGTATTCTTAGCAGTACAGGATTTGAACATATTTAATACACATAATATTCTGACCCCTCTGCCCCTACGAAAAAACCAGAACGATACCAGTGACGTTGATGGGGATAATGCAAGAAGAAATCACTTGGGCATCTTGTTTCATCTTCTCCTCTGGCGTCGGGAGAGGTAGTGCTTTGCTCCAGTTGGTTTGCTTGTCCAGTGTAGAGGGGATATTGTGTATTGGGTTTTTCGGCCGCTGCCCTAACATGACATCAGTATCTTCATCCTCTGGGGGATGGGACTGCAAACGAAGTACAATCAGATTCAGCCATCGTTTATATATAAGCACACATCTAAGGAATTTAATAGGTTAGAGTAGGAAAAATGAGGTCAGAAATAAGTTTTTAGCACAAAGGAAGAATGCTGAGAAGTAGTTAGTAAGCACAACTAATTGAAACTATTATTTCAATAGTCAAGCAACACAAAGGGGAAAATGGGCTAAGTACCATGCTTTCCAAGTTCAACGGAATTAAGAGGAGAGAGAAAGTCACCAGAAATCCCCAAACTTCAACGGAAGAAAACTGAGTCTTTAATCCCGTGAGAAGTGGATGTACTTTCAAGCCATCTCTAAATTCCTGTCAAAAGTTTTGGGAGTTTGAGATGACTAGGATCAAAGGAAGAGGAGGTGTTAGACGCCTCTGAAAAGGTTCAGAAAAAGTGCCAGAAAACCTGCGGTCAGGTGACACTCTAGAACGTATCACCTGAAGAACAAACAAGCCAGCCTACTGAGAGGCCCCATTCAAAACCAAGGCGTTCATTTCACTGCAGGACTGCAGCATTTGTGAATACTTTTTGAAAGCTCAGTTTCATAAACTCTACATGCACGTGAAAAAGCAAAAGTAAAGAATTTCCCCCACCAACTGTAGTGGAAATACAAATACTGTTACGGGGGAAAGATTCCAGTGGGTTGCTTTCAGCTTTGCAGTGAGAAACTTCTCCTCCAGCTGTGTAGTTCGAAGCTTTGATTTCTACCTGACATTTGAAAATTCTCCATCCGAACCTTTTGATAAATATTGATATTGTCTAACTTTTATTTCAGAGTTGGGCTCCTCGTCCAGAGTATTAAAAAGGCTCCATCCCAGTTTGATTTAAGGGTTGAGTTTCTAAACAAGATTCTCGACAGACCCAGTTTTCACCACTGAAGCGAGTTCTAGTTCTTGACACATTTTGAAAGAAGGTGGGTCTGTAAAATAAATACTTTCCCTCTTATTCCAGCAAGATTTTCATAACCTGTTATCCTAAAATTAGGATCATTTAAACAGAAATTTCTTGTCCTCACCTTTGGAAACCCCATGCCCTATGGACTTGGAGGATTCCCCCTATTGTCAAAGTCCCTTTAAAGAGAAGATTCCAGAGCCACTCGTTTAACCCCCCAGCATTTACTTACCTCATCAGAAGTTTCTGCAAAGCCCCCCAACACACCCAACAGGATATCATTCCCTCCCTTGGGAAAAATGTGTTCGCCATGAACACTTTAGTAAAATATTGCAAGCTTCTTTCTCTCTTCGGCTTTGGTGCGGATTCCCAGCCGAATAGCTCAAATAAAGTTCAAGCACAAAAGACTTTGTTTCCTAGGTAACTTCCAAAAAGAAAAAAAAAAAAAAGTTTGGTGCATGCAAAGAGAGAGGGAGAGAGAGAATAAGAGAGAGAAACCCTTACCACCAGAGACCTCATTTTGTAGGCGATTCCTTCCTTGAATAACAATGGACCGAGAACCAACCAAAGGATAGTGACCCGACTACAGGCTCTGACCAGCAGCCAAAAGCACTTTTTATTTAACGGTGACAGGGATAATTGGCTGCCAGAGAATCCTTTTGTCCTGTTCTCTCTTTTTTGATTGGAGAAGCTGAACCTTTACAGCTCTAATAAATACAGGGCAAGCGGGAATTTCTTTCCACCGGCCTGCAAAGTCCCAACAGCAGCATTCGGTGATGCCTAGGCTGAACAGAGCCGCCACTGTGGCAGGCGGGGAGCAGGGAGCAGGTGGGGAGAAAAGCCCACCGCGTGGCCACCTAAGGTATGTTTTCTCTCATTCAAGTTAGGAACCTAGCGTTGTGGAAGTTGATTTAAAAGGAAAACTGTTAGTTAGAAACAAGAGAGTCTGCAATAAAGTTAAAAGAGCAAAGAAAGGAAGAGTGTCTGGAGGGAGCAGGAGAGGCTGTGAAGAAACGTTCTCAGAACCAATACCTTTCTACTCCATGGGGTCATGTGGCAACACTCAGTGGGGGAGGGCGAACGGGTGCTGTTAAACTATGAACATGAAATGCAAAAAAAAGAAAAAATTAAAAACGTGCATACAACAGTCTATCCCGGTTAGGCCAAATCTATGAGAGCAATAAGTGAATATCCTGGGCCAACTCCCTTTCTTCTGTCTTGGCTTCCTTCCTTCATTTCTTCCCAGTCTTTATTTTTTGAAAGGTAGCATACATACAGGTTAAGAGCACAGACTCTAGAACTAGGCTGAGTTCACATCCGGGCTCTGCCATTTATTTTTGACGTGGCCAGAGACATTTCCTTAACCTTTCTAAGATCAGTTTCCTCATCTGTAGTAAGATAGGGAAATAACAGCATCTATCCTCCAGGGCTGTTTTGAGGATTAAATGATTAACCATATGTAATAGACTTTGAAGAATCTCAGCACTTAATAAGCTGTATATGGTGGTGTCAGCTACTACTACAACTATTATTATTTTTTATTGTTTGGGATTCACTGAGGGTATGAAGAATTAGGTTACACTGATTGCATTTGTTAGGTAAAGTCCCTCTGATAATTGTGCCCTGCCCCCAAGAGGTGTGCCATGCACCATGAACCCCCATCCCTCTCCTTCCTCCCCTTTCCCCGATCCCTCATTTCCTCACCCCCACCACGTATTAGCTCATTTGCTGCCTTCATATTAGAATTGAGTACATTGGATTCTTGCTTCTCCATTCTTATGATGCTTTACTAAGAAGAATCTCTTCCAACTCAATCCAGGTTAATGCAAAAAGATGTAAAGTCTCCATCTTTTTAACGGCTGAATGATATTCCATAGTATACATAGACTTATGCACAGCTTTATTACCATTACCTTGTAACTGTGAAACATCTGTGAAAATGTCTCTGTGCATCACTTTCTTATTTTTCAGATCCCCGCTCCATTTGCTAATATGAGAAAGACTGCTTTCCTTAAAGGGATTTTATTTTCCTGGGAACTACTTGAAAGAAAAAGTTCTGTGCATAATTTCCTCCTCTAGACTAGTCACAATTTCCTTCTTCCTCATATTCATAGACCGCATTTGGAGACAGGGCCAGTTTCCTGAGTGTGTGACCCGTGCAGTCCCACAAGGCCTCCATACTCGGAAGGCACCCCACACTTGGCTTCATGCTGTGTTGTCATTGTCTTGAAATTCTTAATTTTTGAGGAAGGAACTCTGTATTTTCATTTTGCAATGGGCTCTACAAATTATGTAGCCAGTCCTATTTGGAGAATAATCTACTAACCAGAATTCCCTTCCAGGATCTCCCAAGAAGGACATCAAAAGTCTTTCAATCTCATAGCAACTTTGAATTCAGTTACGCCTCCTTTACAGCTCTTACCCTCCAGTGTAGCTTTAAAGTAACATGAATTAGTTCTGAATGTGTCTTTGTCATCTATTAGGTTGTGAATTCCTGGAGGTTAGGAGCCATATTTAATTTTCCTTTCAGTTTTCCATGATTCCAGCAAAGTGCCTCCCCCATTGTAAGAGCTCAACAAAACATTTGTGCACTTGGATAATATCAGCTCTGTGTGTTTCAACAGTGATGAGGAACCAGATAAAGTAAGGGGATGCTCCAGATCTCAGGAAGAAACACCATAGAATGGAACCCAAGGGACTTACCATGTTCAGACCAATAAGTGAAAACAGAGAAAACCACCAGCAACCCCTGTTCCATCAGAGGCTCAACATGGTGGATGCTGGGCCTATTTCTTCGTAAGCCTATGGCAGACGTGCTTTTGGTGGGGGGACCTTTATTCAAGGTATTTTATTCTAAGTTGTCTAAATTTTATTCTAAGTTTCTAAGTCTTAACTGACAACATTGCTCATTAACTTTTAAACAGAGCAAATGTTACCTCCTCAGGCCCAGTCAGCTTTGATCTAGAACTTATCTCAGACCAATGATTTTGTAGGGTCTAATGGCTCCCTCCCTACAAGTACCATTTTGACACCTGTGGTATATGTGACCTGAGTTCAGACACTAACCTGGCTGTCTGCTAAGCATCGGTCACAGATAATGATGTGGCAGTCTTAAGACACTGGAGCGTGTAAAACTAGAAAGAAAACGCATGGAAGTAGGGAAAAAGGAAGTTACTTGGAAAAAGAACCTGCTTCAAAGAAACCAAAAGCTTTGGTGTCTCATGAAAAGAATTTCAAAAAACTACACAGCTGGAAACTGCAGGTTAGAAAACACATTAATGATTTTAATATAAACATATAACTTTTGGTAGTCTGTCTTAAATCTCCTAAGTTAGCGAGGAATGGATTTGATTTTGTGTGTGTCGGGGGTCTGGGGGGGACCGTGAATAAAGGTTCCCTGCCAAAAGCAGCCTCTGTTACTCAGGCTGGAGTGCATTGGCATCACAGCTCACTGCAGCCTCAAACTGCTAGGCTCAAATGATCTTCCTGCCTTCGCCTCTTGAGTAGCTGGGATTATAGGCACAAGCCATCATGCCAGGCTCATATTTATTTATTTATTTATTTATTTATAAAGATGGGTCCTCACATTGCCAAAGCTGGCCTCAAACTCCTGGCCTTAAGCGAACCTCCCACCCAGCCTCCCAAAGTCCCAGGATTAGAGGAGTGAGCCACTGTGCATGGCCGAAGAATAGATTTTATTTTTCATCAGTCTGAGAAACCCATCCACCCCATTAAACAAACACAAGGTAACATCTAGCAATGAGTAAGGATGGCAAATGGAGAGAGAATGCAGACTGTTCAGTTTTGGTCACTAAGATTAAGTCAGAGTCTCCATTGTGGGTGACACTCCACAGTGGATTCCTGCTCTTGGCCTCTACTATTTTAATAATAGCTCTAACCTCTAGCTTGTGAGCACTGCAACAAAGTACTCTATGAACTCGAGTGTGCCAGGATTGTGTTCTTTGGTTTTTCCATCTAGACACAAGCACTAAAGCCCCTGTTGATGGTCTGCATATTTAGAGTATTTAAGTTTACGATATTTTAATGGACTAGGGTTTTTTCTGCCATGAATCACTATCTGCCTTAGTGTAGTATTTAAAGCATCCACTTTCCTGGGCATTTGGTCAAAAGAAGTACAATTGTTCTGATTATTTCTAATTAGATTTTTATATGATGAATACAATCATCAGTTCATAGAATATTTTTCTAAATTATCTAAGAAAACTGCAAGAGAATTGCTACCTCCGGGCATCTTTGCATGACCCAGCATGCCACTCTTTAATGGATGCTGATGAATAAGGTTAGGCAAAGCTGATGGTGATCAAACTCATATGAACTAAATTATTCTTTAACAGCTCTCTTTGAAATGAATCTTATTTCTTATTCAGAGAAAGACTAACCCTTTCTTATTCACAACTCTATTCTTGCCATCTTAATAGTGTTCAATAAATATTTGTTGTACTGCTGACACCCCCATGTACCTGGTATAAACAAATAAAAATCCTCTCCTAGAGAAATAAATGGTTTCCACCCAGTACAACATCCAGTACAAAGTCAAAGATGACAAAGTATAAGGGGAGATAAGACAGCATGAGCAAGAAGCAACCAAAACAACAGATAATAGAAGCAGAACCACATGGTCTCCTAATTTTGGAATCATCACTTGGTATAGGAATGGGAATGAACAGCCCTGGTTTTCCCAGAATAAGTGTGTTAGGGTATCATCAATCATTCATTCAAGACTATTTCTTTTCTTTTCTTTTTTTTTTTTTTTGAGACAGAGCCTCAAGCTGTCCCCCTGGGTAGAGTGCCATGGCTTCACTGCTCACAGCAACCTCCAACTCCTGGACTCAAGCGAGTCTCCTGTCTCAGCCTCCCAAGTAGCTGGGACCACAGGCACCCGCCACAACGCCCGGCTATTTTTTGGTTGCAGCCATTATTGTTATTTGGTGGGCCCAGGCTGGATTCGAACCCGCCACCTTAGGTGTATATGGCTGGCGCCTTAGCCGCTTGAGCCACAGGCACCGAGCCCATTCAAGACTATTTCTTTGCTGAGGCTCAAAAATCAACATTTGTTCCCAGTGGAAACAAAAATAAAAATAAAAATAAAAATAAAAATAATTTCTCCCTCATAGGTGTATGCATGTCTACTTTACAATTCTTTCAACTTCCCTGTACTTTTGATGTTTTTAATAATAAAATTTGGAGAAAAATGCAAAAAAGAATTTTCCCTCCTTTTACAGGTTCCCATTCATTCTGGCCCTCTAGCACTGATTTCCAGAGACTTCAGCCTCCAGCTTGCAACATTTTAGAATTAGCTATTACCAGCGGTGCCCATCTTGTCCCTGGCAAAAGGTGCTTCTTCGATGCCTTCACTCTATTTCTGTCTCTGGGGCCTCATCAGTGATGCCCTTGAATCCTTTCCCCAGCTTCTCATGAGATGGCTTCAGCAAAAGCCAGCGTTATGCTTCTGACCAATGTTCACCATAAGAAATAACAAACATTATACTCAAAGACAGTCAAAGGGATTTCTTTGGTAAATAATGAAAGCATATTTTTCAAACTCCCATCTTTCCCATGGAGTGTGTATGAGAGAAAAGTTCATTTCTACACTTTTGTGGGTAGGAATAAGCATATTTCTCCAAAGATTTCAAGATTTCCTCCCATCCTTCTCTTACTGCCAGACGAAAAACTAATCCCTTCACTCCATATTCTACTTTCTCTTGGGTTTGATTTTATATGCTGATGGGGGCTTATTTTGCTTCAAAACTTTCCAAAAGACATCTGTTAAAATGTTGTGGGTATTCCAGCAGGAAATGTTTTTAAAAATTGGCTTTGGTTTGTGATCTAACTGATACCACATGGCACTTCAAGCAGTCGACTTTCTGAGCTGATTTATTGGTATCATGCTGTCTTAAACCTGAGAAACAGTTACGGGAGACTGGATGTTGTGTTATATTTGAACACAGAAATAAAACCTTAGAGCAAAGATGTCCATTGCAAGCCACCCTGGGTTTCCAGTGAGGTGACACAGGCTCTTAGTGTCACTCTACCATGAGGCTTGTGTGTCCTTATTATACCAAGTCTCTCATTTG